TGCATCCTTTGCGTAAAAGCTAGTGATGCATTCGGTCCGGATAGGGCTTGGATATGATGCTTATCATATCCATATCCGCTTACCCATCTCGGATACGGATACAGATATACATGCATATATATAAGCGGATATGCATGCAGATACAAAACAGTTATGAGAAAACTAGATAGTATTGAGAAAAACAAAGTTCATGTGATACAAAAGAGTTCGTTAATATGTCCATTATAATTGAAAAGTTAAAATTAGACATCTTGATCATCAACATCAACCACAAATCCATAATCTAAGAATCGAAACTATCGTAAGAGTATGACTAATATGTATTCGGATATTTTGGATACAGATACATATATTTCACTACATAACCATATCCGTAACCATATCCTATCGGTTATAGACTTTAGTATCCTAACGGATATTATAGATATTTTCTCGGATACGGATATGGTTTAGCACCCCTAGTAAAAACCCAACCATGCCCTAAAAAATTCTAAATTCTTACATGATTGCTTTTAAACATAGGTTAATTTCGCGTAGGCCTCTGCATCATCACCCCATCATAGAGTTCCATGCGTGACGAATAAACCTCAGCAGTGTTGGCCCATGGATGAAAGCGCTATCTCACTGGACTTTTTCGACACTTTTAAAAGTAAAAAAAAAATTAGCAATTGGGCGTCTATTCTTATCAATAAAACTATATAGGAGGTCTACAAAAAATATTAGCAATTGGGCGTCTATTCTTATCAATAAAACTATATAGGAGGTCTACCCGCCCCCTTAAACTTTTTTAAGCATAGTAAAATTCACTTAGGGGGTATTTGTTTCACCAAAAAAATTGGCATTTGGTATGGATTACAAGTTTTGGGATTAAAAAGTAAGTTTTTTGTATTTGGGATTCCATATATGGTGTTTGTTTTAAGAAATATTTTAGAATATTGAATCCCAAAAGTGTAAAAAGTATCCATTTTTTAGAATTTATCAAATTCTCTCAATTGGAGAGCATTTTGTCAAATCCCATAAATGGGTGTGCTTACCTCTCAATTGGAGAGGAATGACAAATCCAAATTTTGTTTTTTGGAGGTAAGCTCACCAAGATAGAATATTCATCATATTATAAAATTTTAACATTTGGTAATGCTACAATTTGAGCTTGAAACAAACAAAATAGTACAAATTGTAATATTCCAAATCTCAAAATATTAATAAAACAAACAAAATTTTAGAAATCCCAACCCATAACAAAACACCTATGGATTTCAAATCCTATGGTGAAATCAATATCCTAAAATCATAGGATTTGAAACAAACATCCCTTAGGAATATATTCTTAAAAACATAACTACAGGAGGTCTGTGTGCAGTTGGATGGTATTTTTTTTGAATATTCTTTTTTTTTATTTTATTTGCTAAATATTACACATGTGATGATGATAAACGGATAACAAACTGTGCTGCTAATCTTTTTTTTTCTTTTATTTATTTTTACTTTCAAGGAGCTGCTCATCTTTTTTTTTTCTTTTATTTATTTTTAGAACAAATTTTCACTGTAGCCTGATTTTAATTTTTTATTATCAAAATCGACTGTGTATCCTTTTATTTACTGAAATCGACCGGTTTTCTCGCCACGTCAGCGTCGTGGCGAGAAAGCTGGTCGATTAATTTTTAATCGTCTTCGTAAACAGTCGGGGTTGGCAACCCCGACTGTTTAGTCCATCGCCTGTTAAGAGGTTAACTAAATGGTCGGGGTTGGAAACCCCGACCATTTCGTAAGAGACCTATTTCGAAATGGTCGGGGTTCCCAACCCTGACCATTTAGCAGAGCCCAGCCAGCGCTGGGTTAGCCAGGGACGAAATGTTCGGGGTTGGGAACCCCGACCATTTCGTAAGAGACCTATTTCGAAATGGTCGGGGTTACCAACCCCGACCATTTAGTAGAGCCCAGCTAGCGCTGGGTTAGCCAGGGACGAAATGGTCGGGGTTGGGAACCCCGACCATTTCGAAGCTCATTTTTAATTGGTCGGGGGCCAACCCCGAAAGTAGTCGGGTTTGGGAAACCCGACTACTTATTCTGGGTCCCCACCACCGTATAAAAGCCACCGCAACCCCCTTTCCCCGATCCCATCTCATTTCTCCGCCTCTCTCTTCTCTCTCTTCCGTCTGTTCTCCCAAAACCAGCTTCAGATCTCAATTTTGAGCTCGTTTCTTCGGCGGAACTTCAAATCAAAAGTTATCTTAAACGTATATTGGTAATTTCTTCTACTCCTCTCCTCTTTTAACTTGTAGAAATGTAGGATTTTTTTCTTAAAAATAATTTGCTAGGGTTTTCATTCATAAATGAATTTCGTGGGCTAGATTTATCTGTGAAATTCGTTTGTATGATGATTATTATCGATGTAATTAACTTTTAGGGCATATAATGTTCAATTGTTCAATTTTAGGGTTTAGGATTTACAATTTGGGAATTAGGGTTTTTGGTTGAAATTATGTGAGATTATTTGCATATTAATTTAATTTTTTATATTTAAATGATATAATTTTCTTTTGAATAGGTTGAACAATATGATGTTTATTGTTTGTTCTTATGGTGGGCAAATTAATTATGGGATGAATAATATGCCAATGTACGTCGGAGGGGTAACGACGCCATTAATGATCTCGGAATCATATAGTTACTACGACTTGGTTATGGAATTACACCGAGTTACGGAAATTGACCCACGAGAATACCGACTGAAAATTATATGCAATTGGCCCATAGCTATTGATAGAACATCCGCAGTGGAGATCTCGAACGATTATCATATGAGTATTATGTTTAAATTGGGCAAGTCGCAACAAACGGTAGAATTATTTATTAAAAAGTTGCCACATAATTCGTGCCAAATATTCAAACCTCCAGGAGAATTCTCACGCATGTTAGATATGAGAGTTAATTCCGATGGGTTTCTTTCTTCTTCGAATGAAATGGAGCGGGCTCAATTCGGTGGAACGTCAAATGTCATGAATAACGAAGTCTCTTATGGAAATATGGGGCCGTTAAGTAGGGCATCAATCGAAGAGGATGAAAGAAGCAATGACTCGGGAGGTGAAGAACAATATAGTGCACCAGTTGATAGTATGCAATTTGTTACCCAAGATGTCGAAGATAATCCGGAATGGCCTGATGAGGCTTACGTTAATAATGACTACGTTGAGTATGAAGAACCACCCCCCGACGAGTTTGAAGATGATGAGTGGATTCGTTCTTCCACAGTAAAAGATATGTGCATCGGTGAAAGTTCAACTCGTAGAGGAGATGATGACGCCCCCTTTAAAGTTGGTGATTTATTCGAGACTAAAGACCAATTGGTTGATGCTATTCGTGAATACTCTTTCGAAAAGAATTTCAAGTTCAAGCAAGTTAAAAGCAATCGCACAAGTTATGATGCAATATGTTTTATGAACACACAAAGAACAGGTCTGACCGAGGGAAATGAAGCTGATTACTCATGTCCTTGGAAGTTATATGCATTTGCAGGAAAGAAACACAATTTTCAATTTAGGATCAGTGAATACTGCGGTGTTCACACATGTGTCAATCCAATATTAGAGCAAGATCACAGTGGTGCATCTGCCTCTTACATAGCGCGGTTGATTATGCCAAAATTAAGGAAGAAGCTTGATCTAACGCCCGATAATATAATTGAGAAAGTGCTTGATACCAAGTTCATTAAAATCTCGTATATTAAAGCATGGAATGCAAGAAGAATTGCGATGACAAAAATATTTGGTGATTGGGACAAGTCTTACGCGACACTAGCTCAATATCTTGATGCGATCAAAAGAAGTAATCCTGGATCTGAATACAAACTCATAACCAAAGAGATCGATCCGGGAGTTCATCAATTCACCTCCGTTTTTTGGGTATTTGGGCCTTCTATTGAGGGGTTTAAATTTTGTCGGCCTATTCTTAGCATTGATGGCACACACTTATACGGTAAATACAAGGGTGTACTGCTTGTTGCTACAGGAGTTGATGCAGATGGTGGCTTATTTCCTTTGGCCTTCGCCGTTGTGGAGGTCGAGAACAGTGAAAATTGGGAGTGGTTTTTTTCTTGCATTCAATTATATATTTTTAATGTGTTGCCTCCTAGAAAAATTACTTTCATATCTGATAGGATGAAAGGTATTCCAAAAGCATTGTGGAGGAGATTTGGCTCTCATCACCATCATCGCTATTGCTTACGACACATTAGAGCTAACTTCAAAAAGAGCTTTAGTCAGATTCATTTACAAAACCTTCTGTGGCAAGCGGGTTGTACGCCGGAAACATATGTGTATGATCGGATACGCGATCAAATCAAGGCAACATCTCAAGCTGCACATGATTGGATTGAGAGAAGTCTGGGCAGTGATTACGTCGACCGGTGGGCACTCAGTAAAGATGGAGGGAATCGGTTCTGCATGATGACAACCAATTGTTCTGAAAGCTTCAACGGGGTACTTAAGGGGGCTCGGGCAATGCCCATACAGGCGTTGGTTGCGAGGACATTTTATAGGCTCAATTACTATTTTGTCAAGCGGCGAGAGGATGGAGCAATGTGGGCCTCGTTCTTGACACCAAAAAATGAGGCGATTTTAGAGGCTCGAGTTAAGCAGGCGAGAGGCACGAAGATTGTTAGATTTGCTGTAGATGAATGGGAGGTTACAGACAAACATGGTCACAATTACACCGTCAATTTGGGAGGTGCACATTGCACATGCACCTGTAACATACCAGAATTGCAAAAATTGCCTTGTCCACATGTCATAGCGGTTACGTCCAAGCAATCGGGGGGTGCAAATATTTCGTATTACACATACGCTTCTGAGTGGTATCAATCAAGCAACTATAGAGAGGCATATAAGCAGTGTTTCCACCCCGTACATGATAGTCGTTATTGGCCACACTATAACGGGCCGCATGTGGTGCCTCCAAGCTATAAGAGACAAGCCGGACGCCCACGATCAGTACGCTTAAAAGGTACTATGGATGAAGGCCGGGAAGGAGCTCCGAAAAAAAATAGATGTGGATATTGCAGACAAGCCGGGCATAGAAGATCTCATTGCCCGACCAATCCAAATAGATAGCAATTAATGGGTACAATTTTATACATTTGTAAATCAATGCTTATAGTAAAATCAATGCTTATAGTCAAACAATGCTTATAAATCAATGCTTATAGTAAAATCAATTTTTTTCTAACTCAATTATAGATCAATTAATGTATCATCGTTATATGTGCAGATATTTCAGTTATGGAGGCGGGTCCATTGACACGTGATGTTCTTTATGACCAAGAGCGCCACCGATCCGCGAAGATAGACGCTGGGGAGGTAAAGTGCAATTTTATTATTTTCAATTATATATAAATTTCAATGTAGTTGATTGTTACTGAACATTTGCACTGTTTACTACATGCAAATGGTCGGGGTTCCCAACCCCGACCATTTAGTTAACCTCTTAACAGGCGATGGACTAAACAGTCGGGGTTGCCAACCCCGACTGTTTACGAAGACGATTAAAAATTAATCGACCCGCTTTCTCGCCACGGCGCTGACGTGGCGAGAAACCGGGTCGATTTCACGAATTAAAAGTTGGTACAGTCGATTTCGGTAATAAAAAATGAAAAAGTGGCTACAGTGAAAATTTGTTCTTATTTTTACTTTCGAGGAATTACATTGTATAACGTCAACAAACTAACAGCTCGGTCTTCTTCACCCCCATCAAACTCCCCTCCTTTCTCTCTCTATTCCTCTTTCTTCCCCCAAAATCAAAACCAAAATCAAATCTGGGGGGGCAAAGTTAGGGCCTTTTCCTAGGGTTTTCGTGCTGGGGAGCGGATCTCTCTCGCGCCATGGCCACTCTCCCATCTCCTCTCCTGTGCCTGGCTCTCCTCTTCCTCATCGCCGCCGCTAGGGCCGACGACGTGTCGCGCGACGAAGACGAAGACGCCCCCAAAATCCCCGGCTGCAGCAACAAGTTCCAATTGGTAAGTCCAGTCTCGATCGTCAGGTCCGCTCTCGACTCAGATCTTTGATATCAGCTTGCTTGCTGACTTTAGGGTTTCTTGTGACTGAATGCAAGTATTTGTGTCACAAAATGAACGAAGATCCTCTTTTTTTGTTTTTGTTTTTTCTTATCCGAGAAATGCATTTCTTTGCGTCCAGTTCTCTTGCAAGTAAATATAATGTAACAAGTATCGTTTGGATGAGCACGTCACAAAAGTGAAGTACCTTGAACATTGCATCAAGACATGATCATATCCATTGAACGTTCTCAATTAGGAAACGCAAATAAGGAAAGAAAATCACCACGTTATCCAAAAAAACGATCTAGGGAGGGCATTAAAAAAAATTGTAAATTCTTTAAATGGCTGCGGATATGCGTGAGGAGTAATACTCTCCATAACCATAAGAGCACAGCACTCAATATAGAGCAAAATGATTCAGTATAGATGGCAAGATATACTTCTAAGTCATACGGGACAGGTATCAAGAAAAGAGAGGAGGGGAACGACGGGAGAGAAGTAAGGTGAAGAAGGATTGTTCTATGTCAGAAGGCCATTTTTGATTAATAAGTTAGGATAAGAAATGATTTTGTTCTCCAGAGCTCAGTGGTACTTCCAATTGAGAAGAAGATGATCGCTTGGATGCCTTTGACACGTGCAAGAGAGATCATTTGAGCTCTCCTGACCGGCCTTCGTGACCGTGGTTAATGGAGAGGCTCTGGTGAAATGGAACATGACTTGAGAAAAGTAATTGATATAGCTGGCCCTTTTGGAGCTGAATGAGAAAAATAATTGATATAGCTGATCCCAAATTGCACCCTACTTTAGAAGTGAGTGTTGTTGTCATTAGTTTTTCAGATTGCTCATTATTTTGTTGCATTCTGACATGCTGTGCTGGTGGAGTTCTTAAAATTTGTTTATTATGACATAGTTTGTATGATTTTTATAAGTGATGAAGTATTTGGATCAGAGTATATTTTGCCATTTGCCCGTGGCATAAAATGTTATTGAGAGCTCAAAATGCCAATGCTGTGCAAGTGTTTTACCTATTCTGGTCTTCAACCTGCAAAATTCTTAAAAAAAGTTCCTGCTGAAGATTTGTGGGAATTTGAAACTAGGTAGATTCAAATGTTCTGCCTTGATCTGGCATACCTTATTACGACGAAATACCGTGCTTATGTTGTTCTTTATTTAAGCATTGTGATTTCTGATGTATTCTGGTGTATAATGATAAATGCTTTCCTCTGTTTTTCTTTTCTTTTGTCATCTTTTTGTTTGCTACAGGTTAAGATAAAGAACTGGTGAATGTAACTGAGGGCAACCAGTGGTTGGATTAAGTGCTAGGTTTGGTTCCTCCTTGCCTAGCCATGCTTCTGAAGTTTAAAAACATCTGGCTGTTCTTGCAAATCCTTTCAACTGCTGTACTAATTTATCAATGAGGTCTACCTTACTTTCTCTCTGAAAATATATGCTTATTTCCAAATGCAAACTACAATATCTCCCTTATCTTCTCTACTCTGATGTTGCTTATCTATTTGTAAATTCAGTTTCATGAGGCGTTTTTGTGAGGAATTATTAGATTTATGTATTTTACGTCTTTATCTATATCAACGTTTCATTTAATTTTTACTGGTTGTTGCTTTAACTATTAGCTTTTTAATTGGTTGATGGCTGATAACTGCCTACCCCTAAAAAATATATGCCAAAGAAAGAGGAAAAAAAAGGAAGAAGGAAAGAAGTAAAGGTTACCCCTTTGATAGTGTTTCTTTCAAATGTCTATTTTTCTTTTGCCCATTCAATCAACAATATTGGATACTATCCGGGGGTAATGGAACAGTGACTTATAAACTCAGCTATCTGTAACAATGTACTCGACTTTGTCATAGTATTAAACCTACCACTTGTTGTTGCGACTGTTATACTACCTAACTTGGTTACTAAGCTTGGTCACATTTGTACTAGATACGATATGAATATGTTCATATCTTGGCTAAATTATTTACATTCAATAAATTTATTCAAAATTTTTCGTAATTAAAATTTTATTTTAAATTAAATTTAAAGATTTCACCACGTGCATTGCACGTGCAGTCATACTAGTAATGAAAAATATATAACTGGACGTAAGTAAATATTGCTAGTTCTTTTGGGTTTCCATACTCGTGTAAGCCTGTACGGTAACAGTTTGAATGGACAGAAATTTTCCCTTCAACATGCTAAGGTCCGTTGGCCCAATATTGAAACTAGGTAGATTCAAATGTTCTGCCTTGATCTGCATACCTTATTACTGACGAATACCTGCTTATGTTGTTCTTTATTTCAAGCATTGTGATTTCTGATGTATTTCTGGTGTATAACTGATAAATGCTTTCCTCCTGTTTTTCTTTTCTTTTGTCATCTTTTTGTTTGCTACAGGTTAAGATAAAGAACTGGGTGAATGGTACTGAGGGCACCAGTGTGGTTGGATTAAGTGCTAGGTTTGGTTCCTCCTTGCCTAGCCATGCTTCTGAAGCTTTAAAAACATCTGCTGTTCTTGCAAATCCTTTCAACTGCTGTACTAATTTATCTATGAAGGTCTACCTTACTTTTCTCTGAAAATATATGCTTATTTCCAAATGCAAACTACAATATCTCCCTTATCTTCTCTACTCTGATGTTGCTTATCTATTTGTAACTTCACTTTCATGAGGCGGTTTTGTGAGGAATTATTAGATTTATCTAATTTACGTCTTTATCTATATCAACTTTTCATATAATTTTTACTGGTTGTTGCTTTAACTATTAGCTTTTTAATTGGTTGAGGGCTGATCATGTGATGTATACCTAGAAGACTAGTTTAGGTGGTTCCTTAAATTATGTGGCCACATTACCCATGATGATGCTTAAGCATGAAGCACTTCCCAAAAGACTGTAAATATTTTAAGTGAACTACATTTCTTTCTGAGCTTTAGTTATAATTATCTCTATAAGTCTTCATATGGAATCATGATAACCAAAGGCTGGTAATTATCTGACAGCGTCATATATTCTGTATCACCTTTTCTTGTGCTTGAGATCCATGGCTTTAGTTCTTGCACCGTGTGATTTGAAACAGGGTTCCAAAAAGGCTGGTAATTATCTGACAGCTTCATAAAATTTGTATCACCTTTTTTTGTGATTGAGATCCATGGCTTTAGTTCTTGCACCGAGTGATCTGAAAGAGGGTTCCAGATGAATATCCAAGGCACATCCATTTTTATGATAAAAAGTGTGAAGTTTAATTTTCTTCTTGACGGTTATAACTAAAGCTCAGAAAGGTTAAAATGCTTTTGCATTTAACCTTAACAGGAGGTGGAGCATTACATCATGTGTAGTCATTTTCTTTGAACGTTGAATTTTAATGTGTGACTTGACTTCAACCCTCTTAGCTAGTGGTAAATTCCTTGTTGAAGTATAGATAGGTTAGGTCCTCGTGCGCATACTGAAAGGTTGTTGGCATCCTCCTAACTGCCCAAGATTTAGGGATAAATCTGGAAAAATAATTGATACATCTGCTATATGGAATCTGAAGCCTAGTATAATAATAACTGGCAAGATAAGCCAAATTGCCACCACCAAGCCTTGGATTGCAAGTAAACTTTGATTGACTGCATTATGAGCTTTTTACCTAGGTGTATGACTTAACTAGTGACTGGGAATGCTTATATTATAGGTTAATCTAGATATGCATGGTTAGAAATTTAAATTTTTAATCTTTATACTAGTGAGTATACAGGTCTCTTGCACAATTAGAATGATATGAGTTCTGTGCAACAGTGGGTTATGAGCTTATTCGAAATTTCACATCTGAATTCTTCAATGTGTATATAGCTTTATATAAAGTAAGCTGCACCTGAAATGCATAGCTCTGTTATGCAAGAAGTGTAGCAAATAGTGAGATCTAACTTGCATTGATGACTCCATAGTTCTAAGAAATAGTCTAGGGTACTAAAGGATGAATTTGGACATTTTTAATGAAGATGTGGATGATCGAGTTGAGACTTTGAGCATGATCCATTTCATATTATGCAAACCTAGGTGACATGCGACATTGATCCCACTTGTGTATGCATTAGTTTCTTTTTCTATTTGAGAACTAAAGGTCTTCAAGGTATAGTATTTTTAAATTGCGAGTTGAGTATCCTAACTGATATTTCAAAACCATTGCAATGATTACCAATTGCGGCATGTGATATATATCTTGATAAATGTTTCTTTTTGTCTCAGTTATCAAATTCAGTTGCCTTGGCTAAGCGGGGAGATTGTGCCTTCACTAATAAGGCAGTGGTCGCTCAGTTTGGTGGTGCAGCAGGTTTACTTGTGATAAATGACAATGAAGGTAAGAATTCTTTGCAATTCCAAATCATTCTTTATTATTATCTTACTTATGACTTAATTCACAATTGCTTGAGCTCACAATTTTTAGTTTTTCCTTTTCACATCTTGAATTTTTTTAATTGTTCTTTGTTCCTTTTGTTGTTATTTCATAGATCTTTACAAGATGGTCTGCACCGAAAATGATACTTCGCTTAATGTGACAATTCCTGTTGTAATGATACCAAAGTCTGCAGGGGACAAATTTAAGGATTCCTTGGCTAATGGAGCCAGAGGTTAGCTGTCTATTTCATACTTGGGCTACTGTTAGATTGACTTGATGAAATTGAAGTATCTCTTTATCCCTTTGTTTTGCTGTGAAATGCTGTTTATCTATAATCTTATTGAATCTGCATGCTTAGATGCCGAGATTGCAATCAGTGATAAAGTCTTTGTTCCCCTTCTGTGGTGATTTCTGTAGTGCAGTTTACTTGATTCATGCTATTGGAGTTTAGGAGTTGTAATAAGAAATTGATTGTGGTATAGTGACTTTAGGTTTGCTACTGTTGTCATGGAGATCACTAGGAAAGTGCACCTTGTTGCCTTCTCTCACCATTAATGACCTCAGAAGTAGAAACCCTAGATCAAGAAGGGGGAGGGAGGGATGGGGGGATTGTAATTTTTTTTTGATAACGCCGCATTAGATGATAAAAGTACATTGTCATTCTAAATCAATATGGCCAGCACATAGGTGGGGAGAGCCTAAGAGAACAGGTTACTGCCTACACAATGTCTAAGAATTATGTGGTTGGATTATGTGAAAGATTAGCACTTACCTAAATCTTGAAGATCTGGCACTAAAAGCAAACCACAGTATTCTTTATCAAACACCTTACATGTGCAATTCCATAGAATGAAATGGAAATTTATACTCCATATTTCCCTCTTAAAAGTAGAATAATCTGGGAACTTGATTTCCTTGGTCTGCCAACTTTATTTGTGGGTTGAAAGTTGAATCTTTGTCCATCCGTCTTCTATCATCATCGAAAGTCTTGGACATAGAAGTCGGGAATATGGGACGCTATAACAACTTGCGACCCAGTTCCAATTGTCCCAGATCACGTGGAACACGACATGATTCACTTAACTACAGTGACCCAATTTAGAATTCAAGCCAATTAAAATTTCAAAGAAACCAAACTCTTTTTTAAAAGAATAAACAGCAAAAAACGTGTGATATTAAGCAAATAAAGTATGCATTCCTTAATTGCAAAATGATTCTTAAGGTTCTTTTACCATTGCTGGTATCAACTAGCATATTTTTTAAATTTGACCCATGCAAAACATGTTATTCCTACATTTATGAACATAAAGCGTCCTATGTTCCCCGGTGTATTGTATAAGCCTACCTCCCTCATACCCACTTCCTAATGAGTGGCGTACGATGCTCCTGTACCCGTCCTATGAACTGGAACAAACCGGCATCCATGCAACTATGGTCTTGTCAATGGAACAAAACATCTTATTACTTAAAAAACTCCATGCTGATACCCAGACTTTTTTTAATAATCAAATCTTATCTCACTATTGATCCAAAGGTCATTGTGGCTTCTATTTAGAGAATAAAATTCCAATGAAAAGATTTCTTTGCCTGCTTTTTGAGTATTGAGATGTGCTTGGATTAACCTCCTGGAAATTCAGTTTAATATACCGATCACTTGGTAGGTTTGCAAGCTTTTGTTTTTTATTTTTCATATTTATTATTATTATTTTTGTGTAAGAGTTGCCAGGGCGTCCTACTTGTAACTTGTACCGAATCTGACTGGAGGTTGGCCCTATATGAATCATATATTGTTAGATAGGTTGCCGTTTATGGAACATATACATGGACACAGTAAATGGAAGACAAATATGACACAATACAAACACAGCATTATGGGCATATCCTTAAAAAACAGGATATAAGGACAAGGCTACATGATAGCTTATATGCGGGTGCAAATGCACATCCATGCTCTTATAATACACATCAAATTCATGGTGATTAAGGCATAACCCAATATATGCCTCGCATATTTGAGAAGTATTCAAATTTTTGTTAACTTAGTGCTGCCCCTTAAGAAGGATATAATATTGATTAACTTAGTGGAAATGATAGCTCGTATGGAAACTGAATGGAAACAGTATTCATGTAATCAACCCCAAGAATTTTGGATAAAGGCTTTGTTGTTGTTGTACTTTGGTTCTGTTAACATAGTATCTTCTTTAAGTCAAAGGGTTCTCTTCATGTTCATTTAAGTGTTAAATACTGCAATGCATACAAAGCACAACGTGTGAACTTTTTATGAGAGCCAACGACAAGCTCTGCCACACCCTTTCTTGTAACTCAAGATCCAATGTGGCCTCGAAATGTATCATTATCCGATACGGATAAGGAACTGACATTGAACTGTCATCATTTCTTGCCACCATTAAGTTACGTTACAACTAATCGGTCTCGCTTCTCAGTGATATCTACTATGAATATTCCATTCACATGTTTTTAACTGTTAACTGTTCATCGATTAATATGCTTCAAAGTGAAACATATAAGCTTGAAATAACTTTATTTTATGTAAGTGAAATTGCTCTAATTTGTTTACATCTTTGTGGAAATTTCTAATGGTATATCTCATGTTACAGTGGAGGTTCTATTGTATTCTCCAAATCGACCTGTTGCGGATATATCAGCAATTTTTGTGGGGTTAATCGCCGTTGGAACCATTGTTTGTGCTTCACTTTGGTCTGAATTTATTGCATGTGAGCAGGTTGATGAACGTTACAACCAACTAACACGGAAGGTTTTTTTTAAACTTCTCTTCTTCTTTTAATACCAAAAATAAACAATATCTTGAAGGTTTCGTGTCTGTAACCAGCCTAGTGAATGCCTCGCCCGCATGGTCTATGCCCTCGATTTAGGTAGTGGACGATGCTACAACTATAAACGAGAAGCCCTGGCTTCTTCCATTGATCTATTTCTCAAATAAAAAATGAAACAAAAAAAGAAAAATGACAAAAGCAAAAAGCTAGAAAAGAAAGACAAAATATGTAAAAAAAGAAAATATATAAAACATTATTTGGTCAAGACCAACATATAATTTGATTAGACTCCTTTGGTATGCTATTGTTGACTTTCTTATTTTAAACTTTTTTCTACTACCTATCTAATTGTGTCCTTCATCATTGTTCATGGAGTGAGCTGATTAGTTTCCTGAGTATCGATTTATAGGAACAAAGATCAAACAATTTGTGCTAGTTACATTTATATCCGTCCATTGAAATTATGGTCCATTTCATAGCCATTACCTATTTTACACTTTGATGATGTTTCCATGGAATTAAAATAATGATTCATACAAAAGGGGAATCCTATATTGTTTTTCTTTGTCATTGGTGTTTATATGCAGAAACTGCTGGAATTATTCTTTGCTAGGGAATACTTAGAACGTTAAGAGTATGACTTAGACAATTATGTTACTAAAGACTTAGCTATTGATGCATTTCAATCATGCAGGGGCGTGCACTTGCCTCAGTCTGCTGTTCTATTATCTTAGATAATAATTCTAAGTATTTAAACAGGTTTTTTGTCCATTAATATAATACAGTTGGATAAAATATTGATTTGTAGTTTACCTATTCATTTGTTTGGCAGGATCAGCCAGCCGGAATGAGCAGCAGGGAAGATTCTGAGAAGGAAATTCTAGAAATTAATGCAAGAGGAGCTATAATTTTCGTTATAGCTGCTTCAGCTTTTCTATTGCTTCTTTTCTACTTCATGTCCTCTTGGTTTGTTTGGCTTCTGATAGTATTATTCTGCATTGGTGGTACTGAGGTATCTCTATTTTCTGACTTCTAGTTAAATCATTGGTTTCAAGTTTCAATTATAATATAATTGTGTCGTCTAATTATGAATTTAGATTTTGAATTTATTCAAGCTTATTTTTTGAGATCTACAGAAGAATGTTTTCAGCACATTGAGGAAGGGATATGTGGCCTTTTGACACTTGGAAATAGAGATAAATTTTTAGCTCATGAATAAACTATGATTCTGTTTTGAAATATTGAGAGGAACCAATTGCAATTTCTTAGATTATGTTGGCATTTTTTTGGGTTAGCAATGGTCTCTGCAGACTTCTTGTGGCAAGGGGGTCTAGTTGCCAGTTACCTTACCAGATTCCAACCTGAAAATTTTGGGACTGTGATCATGAAATTGGATCCTTTTTCACATTCCATCTGGATATCGCTCATTGATTATCAAAGCCCACGGTCCATGATACATGTATTTATTTTGTGATTTACAGCTAAACCATCCCCTTGCCCCCCAAGTCAGTTTATGCAACACGGTTGTCATGCTTTAAGGTGTGCTTGCTACTCAAAAACATATTCTGTGATTCTTAGATAGCATAAGGAATAAGCTCATATGAATCAGTTTGATATCCAACTAAATTGGGGCATCGTAAAATTGAATTTGGATAGTCTGGAAATGGATCTAGATATTGATGCTACAAATTCAGGTATAGATGTCTGAAAACATTGGTTGGACTGGATCTAGATATTGATGCTACAAATTCATAGTAAATCAATAAGTTGATTCTTTGAATGGATTCAATGATGCCTTCTAAAAACATATATTTTATGTCCTACTTAGAAAGTTTGTCTTGATGTCTATTAGTATAATTTAAGCTTAAGATGTTCTTATTTGTTATAGCATATCCTAAACTTAGAAATTTTGTTTTAATATGTGAAACTGAGATTTTTCTCACAAAACTCATGGACTTGGTCATTGCATAGATTAATTGGTTTAAACATGATCAATGCGTTATGTTTCCTCTACAAACATGAGGGTAGAGATTGTTATGTTTAAAATGTCAGAGGATGATCACTGATAGTTGGCCTATGCCAGTCTTATGCCCAATAAAGCTCTTATGTTTTCTTTTTCAGGGAATGCATGTTTGCTTAGTAGCACTCATTTCAAGGTATAGTCACACAGAGTACGAGTTACGTTTATCTGGCTTCCATCTTCAGATCCTCATCTTACCTTTTAAAAGCATTGTTTTATGATGAACAGGATCTCAAGAGATTGTAGTCAGAAGACTATTACTCTTCCCCTGTTTGGGGAGGTTTTAGTCCTCTCTGTGGTGGTTTTACCATTCTGTGCAGCCTTTGCCATTGTTTGGGCAGCAAGCCAACATGCATCATATGCGTGGATTGGTCAGGATGTTCTTGTAAGGATCTTCGTTTCTCGTATTTCTTTCTTTTAATCTGATTTCTAATTTATTAATTATTATTATAGGATAAATGCCTTAACTTCGATAATCACTTTGAAGCATACTCACTCGTATAATTACATCCAAACTGCAGTCCTTTATCCACCAAGTGTCGATTTGTATTGTTTTAAGTTAAATTTTTTTTATACCTAATTATTTCCTTGATAGAATAGACTAATTGGAAGTTTCTGATACACGCATTTTGATCTTTCCAGGGCATCTGTTTAATGATAACTGTACTGCAGATGGCTAGGTTACCGAACATCAAGGTAACATTTCATTGAAAAGCTTAGTCACTAGTAATACATTTCACGCCAATGCTGTCCTAACATTTTTACATTTCCTGACATATTTCTTCTGACTATTATTTTCTGATCCAGGTTGCATCAGCTCTTTTGAGTTGTGCATTTGTCTATGATATATTCTGGGTGTTCATTTCACCTCTTATTTTCCACGAGAGTGTTATGATTGCTGTAAGTCTACATTTTAGTGTACTATGCTTATTATTAACTTTTCCAGTATTTATTTTCCTAGTAAATGTCTCGCACCAAAAAATATATGAATGCTTTAATTCACTTTTGACATATGTCAGTCCTCAATATTCTGTGCCACAATCCATAACTATCTGGGACTTCGGGTAGGAACTCTAGTGAAAATTTTCTGTTCTGCTATATGGGTCTATGTATTGGTAGGTTTTGAAATACTTCTATTTTGATATAATAGAGATATTAAATGGTTTCCACATTTAGCTGAAGTTAGTCCTCGACAAATGTAAGTATTGTCTATGACAAATAATATATCTGCAACCAGGGTGTACCAATAAATGATGATTCAAAAAACTTACTGGCGTTCACCTACTTGTTGCGTTATGTGGAATTTCTGACTCTAGTTACTGTAAATTATTGAAGTCCATGCTCGAAAAAGTTGATAGGTTTGTTCTCTTAGAGAAAGTCTCTTGTCATTATCGAGCGTCAAATGCACAACGTAGAGTATAAATCACAGTTTAGTAAGTCTCTTGTCAATATCGAGTGTCAAATTCACAATGAAGAGTATAAATCACAGTTTGAACGGGGAAGTCATTTTTCTCTAGTTCTTCCACGTGAAACATGTAGGACAAACTGTTACTCACGTGCATGGCTCAACATTCCTGTTTTGCTGTAGGCAGAAGTTTTGAAGACCTGCAAATAACGTTAACAATATTTCCCATGTTTTTCTATTGAATGTTCAACTCAATCATTGCCCTTTCTAAATGTAGGTTGCTCGGGGGGACAATAATGGGGGAGAAGCAATTCCAATGCTTTTGAGAATCCCTCGTTTTTTTGACCCTTGGGGGGGTTATGATATGATTGGATTTGGGGACATACTTTTCCCTGGCTTGCTTGTTGCATTCAGTTACAGGTATCTTCTTTCAGTGGTTACTAACTTTTTGAACTTTGAAAATCTTTTAAGCTGTATTATTTATTTTCCAAACTCCTCACATGTGCACATGCATGTGGTGTGCATATATACTATATAAAGGTTTAGCTTATGCTCGATTAATGCACCCAGATATTAACACTCATCTTTAGCGTTTGTGTCTATAAGTTGATCTTACTCTAGAATAAGCTAAATACCCATATTGGTTTTTAGTTCAACCTCATTTGCCAAGAAGGTATTTTAAATAAAAAAATCGGCGTTAAGGCATTTTAATTGATTAAAATTACCAATTAGGTTATTTTTCTCGTCGGCGACCACTTTTCCTACGAGAACTCGTCACGTGCGTGACACGTGATGACTTAATCTGTATAAATACCCATATTGGTATTTTAATTCAACTCAATTTGCCAAGAAGGTATTTTAAATAAAAAATCGGCGTTAAGACATTTTAATTGATTAAAATTACCAATTAGGTCTTTTTGCTTGTCGGCGACCACTTTTCCGGCAAGAACTGGTCACGTGCATTTTAATTCAACCGGTTTTCTGACGTGGTAGTGGCAGGAAGAATAAGAGTCGATGCATTTTAAAATCCCCCATTTCTAAAATTGTAAAAAAATTAGCGAAAAATTCGTGGAGAAATTACCGTATAAATAGAACCTCTTTCTCTTGCATCGATCCATGGCCGCGCCGGCGGCAATCTAGTCTGCAGTGATCTTCGTCTTCTCACTCTCTTCTCTCCGAATTCCCATGACGTTTTCTTCTAGAAGTTCCTGGAATCGGGGGTTTTGGCTGCTTCTGTTAGCGGTAAAGCTAAGATAATTGAGTTGGATCTGAGATCTGGAGTGAATGCGTGGAAGTTTGATCTTTGTTTTGAAATTTTTAGGGTTCAGGTTGGTTCGTTTTGGACTTAAATTGTGATTAAGCCACATCTGCAGCTAAAACCGAGCCACATCAGCAAACCGAGCCACATCATCAGCTAAAACACAGATTAAGTCATCAGATGTCACACACGTGACGAGTTCTCACCGGAAAAGTGGTCGCCGACGAGAAAAAAGACCTAATTGGTAATTTTAATCAATTAAAATGCTTTAATACCCATTTTTTATTTAAAATACCTTCTTGGTAAATGGGGTTAAATTAAAATACCAATATGGGTATTTATACAGATTAAGTCATCACGTGCCACGCACGTGACGAGTTCTCGTCGGAAAAGTGATCGCTGACGAGAAAAAAAGACCTAATTGGTAATTTTAATCAATTAAAATGCCTTAACGCCGATTTTTTTATTTAAAATACCTTCTTGGCAAATGAGGTTGAATTATAATACCAATATGGGTATTTAGCCCTCTAGAATATTTGTGCAACAACAGAGTAATTTATTAGAGACATTAATTAGAAAAACATGCATGTAATGGAAATTTTAAATTAGTAACTACATATGACCACCTAGTGGATTTGTAAGCAGAGTAGCACTGTACGCCATAATATATATGATATTAAATGTATGTTTTAGTTGCTTGTTTGAATGTTTCTGTATGTACGTTGCGCATTCTATTGTAGTCTATACTCAAGACACACTCCGACTCTGTACATATCTTGAAATCACTGTGTGAAGTTGAAGGCAGGAAACTCATTCTGAAGTGTCAGTGACTCAGTCACATGTTGAATTGTATTTATCCAGCAACTCTTGTTCTTTTAATCACAGAGAGTGTGCATAGTGCATTGTAGGTCATAAGATGCTTTTACCAAATCCTTGGTTAACCAATTTTTCTAGCATTCTATATATTTACAGTTTAATTATGTGGACTACCTATAACTTTTTTATTTTGTTTATGCAGATATGATAGAGCAAACAAAAAGGGAATTTGGAATGGTTTTTTTCTGTGGCTGACAGTGGGCTATGCATTTGGTGGGTTTCAGTTTTCTTAAGAATTTTTAATTGGATCATAATGATTTTCTATCATGAGAAGAATGTTAGCAGTTTTACTGTTTTAGTTTTGAATTGTTGATTTGAGTTCGTATCCGTCACAACCCTGTATGTGACAGAATTTCCTCGTGTGTAATATGATACCCATTATTCTCTCCCTCACTCCCCTTTCCCTTTCTTCCTCCCTCCCTCTCTGTGTGTGCGTGCACGCATGCACACACACACTCTGCTCTCACGACAAGTATATGTGCGCTCCTAGGGACTTACTTTACATTGAAATTGTGACACAGCATTAAACAATGGTTTTTCTTTTGCAGGCCTCTTTCTCACATACCTTGCTTTGTATCTTATGGATGGCCACGGTCAACCTGCTCTGTTGTACCTTGTTCCGTGCACTTTAGGTGACCAACTTGTTACTATTTTGTTTTCGTTTGAACTTAAAGCATCTTTTCAAAACGATATCTGATAACAGTCATTCTCAACTTTCATGGGTTTTTGATTTTCAGGGCTTATTATCATATTGGGTTGGCTCAGAGGAGAACTAAATGACCTGTGGAACTATGGGAAAAGCCGGACTGGTAATGATGCTGTAGAAGCTTGAAGGACACATTTTCTGGACTGCGAGAAATGCACGGTACCAAGTCTTGTTGGGTCCATAAAGACCTGTCGATTGGCAAAAGTAACATTTTAAGATCCAAAGGACACAAAAACTCAAACCTCGAAGGAGTTTATGCAATACATGAAAAATCTATATTCGAAGAGGGTCATCTAAGCTTTCAAATGTAAACTAACCATGGAAAAGTGAGCCTTAAAGAACAATGAACTAGGACTAGATTCATCCTTCAATTGTTGATTATTATGTAGCCATAAAAATACTCCGTTGATTGTCTGTTTCATCACGAAATTGTATTGGGAGCTCCTCTTTGTAGTGCTAAGTGCAGATGGAATGTATATCATTAATAAATGCATGCTCGATCTTGTAATCATTCATAAACTTTTTTTTTTTTGCAACTGCAGCTTCCCTTTGGTAAATCCTATATACAATACGATATCTTAAAGGTTATAAAAACCATAGATAACCGTATAGTTACTGCAAGTGGATGTTCCCGCCATGGGTTCCCATTTAGCATGGCTCTCACATGGCTCGATGGAGGGTCAAACGACGACGGATTCACCCCAAACTTGGTGTGTTGGGGTTTTGGAATATGTAGATCAAGTTCAACGGAGCGGATCATCCATAATGTCGCTCAATCATGTGATTTTAGAGGCGTCATAGGAGGAAATCCCCTCCTATAGTGAGTGGGGACCACCCACGTGGGTGATTCAAGTTCAGCAACGCGGTTTCGTTTCCGCGTTTCATTTCCGCATGTGTGATGGCCCACCTGCTTACATTGTGCTGCTATATATTCCTCTCTTTTAAGTGCATAGGGTTTTGTGCACAGAGTTAATTGCGGCTGCAGGGTACAAAATTGCTGGCAGCGAAAAAGCAAAGCAGGAGGTTTTTCGTTAGCGGCTACGGAGAAAAGCAAGCGTGAGAAGGTTTTGACTGCGGTTGTTTTTTGGTGCAAAAGAACAGAGTTGCCTGTCCATTTGTAGAGAGATTAAGAGGGATTTGAGAGTTTGTTTGAGAGGGTTTAGATTGAGTGATTGTAAACCCTAGTTGTATTCTCTTCCTCTAATAGTAGATCTCCCCCCTCCTTGCCCCGTGGATGTAGCCAATTTGCCGAATCACGTAAAATTTGTGTTCTTGTCGTGATTTGTAATAGCTTGTAGGATCCCTCGACAAGTCAGTCCTAGAACTGATGAGAGGAAGAGCCGATATCTCACTTTGTTGAGATATTCGTTTCAGATTCTTGTTTCCTTGGTGAGACAAGAATTCTTACTACGATCTAATCTATTGTTGTGCACCTTGCGCATCCGAGGTGCTGTCGAAATTTTTGCTGCGCACAACAAGTGGTATCAGAGCCAGATTAGATTTGGGGCTTGTTTGAAGGATTCACTGAAGGATTCCTATTTGAAGAATTAGATCGACAACATGGGAGAAACAAGCACATCGGGATCGTCTCTTTCGAAGGCGATACAAAGTCTGAGCATCAATAACACGAAGATTGATGTTCTGAAGTTCGACGGCAAGATTGATTTCGGATTATGGAGGTGTTAGGTGATGGACGCCTTGGATGCACAGAATTTGGAGGAGACTCTTGAGTTACAAGAGAAACCCGCTGATATGGATGACAATGTTTGGAAGAAGATGAATAGTAGGGCTTGTGGAGTTATTCGGTCATGCTTGACGCCGGATCTTATTTATGACGTAATGAACGAGACATCGGCGAAGAGAATGTGGGAAACACTCAATGAGAAGTATATGACGAAGAGCATTGAGAATCGACTTCACTTGAAGAAGATGTTTTACCAATTCAAGATGAAGAGGGGAGTTTCCATTCGGGAGCATGTTAACAACTTCACGAAGCTAATTTCAGATATGACCAATGTAGATATCATGGTTGAGGATGAAGACAAGGCGATGCTACTATTGTGTTCGTTGCCGGAGGATGATTTTGGTACGTTTGTTCTCACTATGATAAATGGAAGAACTACGGTTAGCTACAAGGAGGTGACCTCAGCTTTGGTGAATTATGAGTTGAGGAAGAGTGATGGCGAACCATCCGAGAAGGCATCGGGAGATGTATTAGCAGTTCGAGGCCGTGGTCCAAACCGTCGTCCAGGTGATCGCTCAAGATCAAAGTCAAGAGGTGGCCATAGAAATATTGGTAGGAATCAATGTCGCTTTTGTAAAGAAGAATGACATTGGAAGAACGACTGTCCAAAGTTGAAAGATAAAACTTGGAAGAATAAAGGAAAAACTGTACAAGCTTCGGAAGTGAATGTTGTCAAGGCTAGTGGCGACAATTCAGATACGGATTCTTCAGGCTATTCTTGCTCTGCATTACCGTCAGTTTGTTACGCTGACTCTACGGAGTGGATGATGGATTCTGGTACTACATACCATATTTGCTCTAGGAGGGATTGGTTCTCTAGCTTTGAGGAGTTGGAAAGAGGGGATGTCGTGCTCATGGGTAATGATCACGTATGCCCTATTGGTGGTATTGGTACAGTACGGATTGGGATGTGTGACAGGGTAACTCGGGAGCTGAAGGAAGTGTGATTCGTTCCTCAATTGACGAAGAATATCATTTCACTTGGAACTTTGGAGGCAGCTGGCTATAAGGTGATCTTGGAGAATACGACTCTGAAGGTCACAAAGGGGTCCATGGTGGTGATGCGATGTGTCAGGGAAAACAACCTTTACTACTTGAAGGGCAAGACAGTAACAGGGGGTCTGTCAGCTTCGATTACCACAGAGGAAGATACTACCAGCTTATGGCATATGAGATTGGGGCACGCTGGTGATAAGTCCCTACAGGTATTAGCGAAGCAGGGGCTATTAAAGCGTGCAAAGACCTGCAAGATGGAGTTGTGTGAACATTGCATACTTGGGAAGAAGACAAAAGTGAAATTCGACACCGCTATTCACAATACCCAAGGTATATTAGACTACATTCACACAGATGTTTGGGTCCCTTCTAAGCACACATCACTTGGTGGGGTCAACTATTTTGTCACTTTCATTGATGACTATTCCAGAAGGAATTAGGTATACTCGATGAAGCATAAATATCAGGTCCTGGATATTTTTGTGGAGTGAAAGAAGAAAGTGGAGCTGCAGACAGGTAGAAAAGTGAAGACTCTACGTTCAGATAACGGTGAAGAGTATAAGAGTGATCCGTTTCTATAGTTTTGCCGGGATCACGGCATTAGACGACACTTCATAGTTAGAGAGACACCGCAACAGAACGGGGTGGCAGAGAGATTGAACCGTACCTTGCTGGAGAATGTGCGATGTATGATGACGTAGAGTGGATTGCCTAGATCTTTTGGGCCGAAGCATTGGTTTATGCGAGCCATCTCGTGAATAGATTACCGTGCACTGCGATACAAGGAAAGACTCCGTTGGAGCGTTGGTCTGGTTCGGTAGCTAGTGACTATGAGTCGCTTCGGATATTTAGGTGTCCAGCTTATTACCATGTCAATGATGGTAAATTGAATCCGAGGGCGAGGAAAACAGTCTTTGTGGGATTTAGAGATGGAGTTAAAGGCTTCAAGTTATGGGATCCACAGGACAAGAAGATAGTTATTAGCAGGGATGTCACATTTGACGAGACGTACATGATGAAGCCTCAAGTTCCTCAGCAGGTGGAGGAAGACTAGACAGTTGGGATATCTCGCAGCAGTGAGGATGATGTGCCTCCACCCACTCCAGATAGCATTGTATCCATTGAGGCTCCTACAGAGGTGACACTGGGAGGAGATGAGATGACAGTCGGGCATTTAGAGGATACAGTGGATGTTGGGACTCAGGAACATGGTCATGTTCAGGAGTCCATTGCAGCTAATAGACCAAGAAGAAACATTCGTCGGCCAGCTAGGTATGACGATATCATGATTGCATATGCTTTATCAGCAGAAGTCGTTGATGACTTGGTTCCTTTTACATTCAAGAAAGCAGAGTCAAGCTCTGATTCGAATAGGTGGAGGGAAGCCATGGAGGAAGAGATGCAATCTCTTCATAAGAACGACACTTGGGACCTTACAAAGCTACCGAAGGGTAACAAGGCTATTGGATGCAAGTGGGTGTATGCAAAGAAAGAGGGATCTTCTATTGGGGAAATTAGATTCAAAGCCAGATTGGTTGCCAAAGGATATGCACAGCTAGAGGGCGTTGATTACAACGAGGTATTTTCACATGTTGTGAAGCATTCGTCGATTCGTATTTTATTGACATTGGTGGCACATCTGGATTTGGATTTGGTCCAGATAGATGTGAAAACAGCCTTTCTACATGAAGATTTAGAAGAGGAAATCTACATGACACAATCTATGGGGTTCAAAGACCCAACGATCTCCTCCGCCGTCGCCACCACCGTCCACTTCCCGCCATCGCGCTTCCTGAACCCCTCCCACATCCTCACCCCTATCCCCATCACCTCCACGACCATCTCTGCGTTGATGAACTGCTCGTGAAACAACGACCACGTCACTATTAGGACTCCAACGCTCATTGATCGTCTGCGACTCCATGGCCACGACCTCCTCGATCTCGAACTCCTCGTCGTTGGAGCTCTGGAGGATGATCGTCTTCTTCGAATCGTTGGCGGCCACCATTGGGAAAATGGACGGAGGAAACCCTTTCAAATCATCACAGATAAAAAAAGAGAGAAAGAGAGAATGATATTATGGTCTTCACATGTTTAAAACTCTTGGATTTTGTGTTTGGGGGCTCGGGGAATAATGGGTTTACTTTTGGGGGTTTTGGAAGTGTTGAAAAATTCTTGGGAGGGGGTGGAATAGTTGTTAGGAAATTAGGGGCTGGAAGTAATTTCCCCTTCTTATTAATAAAACTTCAAGGCGTTTTTCTTACCCACCTTCTTTTCTCCCCCTCCTCCCACCCCACGGAAAAGGGAGGAGGAGGAGGTGAAAATCTGGCATGTAACCACTTAAATGTGTAGAAGTAGAAACAAAAAAAATAAAATTGTACCCCTCTTCCTCATAAAGATTCAATCCTGCCAAGATGTGGATGGGCTTATGCAATATAGAAGTAAGGATAATTGTTTTGATTTCTTTTAAAATAGACTCTGGATTCTTTAGCATTGTAGACATCCCATTAACTTTAGCATATATGTTGGGGAATTTTAGACTCCCTGCATACTATAATCTACGCAACTTGGAAGCCAACCCACAATCAATAAGATATAAATCAACCACAATCAAGAAGAAAGAATACCGAGATTTACGTAGTTCGGTCTACCAACTTCGACTTACATCTACGGGCAAGAATAAGAGAAATCCACTATGTATCAGGGAGAACTACAAGAGAAACTACTCAACTCTCGTCTCTTAATCTCTCAACCTTACATACATAATCAAC